CCCCAAAACCCCAAAACCCCAAAACCCCATTAGATTAAAAATAAATTCAAAATCTTGAATATAGAATATAAAATGAAAACTTAACAGAATAATCAAAAAGAAAATTTTCCCAAATAGCAAGCGCAGTAGAATCCATAACAACAGATTTTGATACAATAAAAAGAAAAATAGATCATAGAACTTTAAGAGGAGTTAAAGTTGCAGCAAGATATTATTAAAGATTTTATGAGAGACAAGTTATAAAAGGAAAACTAGAGGAAATATTATGACAACTATTTTAACCAGAGAATAAAACTAGTAAATGCTAGTAATTCTAAAAATAAGAGCATGAATCAAAGCTAAGGGAATATTAATAGTTTAAATGGAGTTTACATTAAGGATTTAGAGTTAGAGGAGCAGATGTTTACTCTTTCGAATGGGGTTAAGGAACTTTCAAATAATCTTAGTGAAGATGCCCTATTTATTGAAACTGGAATGAGCTCATTACTTAATTTAGTAGATTAGACATTGATAAATGTAAAAATTCAGCAAACTATTGGGAGCATTGTAATAGGAAGAGAGAGGAGCAATAGTAAAGGTAAGCCTAAAACCATGCGATAGAGTGAGTCCAGTCATCCTGCAAATAAAAGCTTTGGCTAATAACCTATGCAATCATCAAGAAACAATAATGTTTCTACTTAATAAAAAGCAGTGTAAAAATAATAAAGTAAGAGCCAGTATTCAAATTTAAAGCCAAGCGAAATTAAAAGCAGCTAAATCCTAACTACTAAAAAAAAGGAATCAGAGCAGGCATTATTAATTAGAGAATATGGAAACTCAATCTTGGTTAATGAATATGAAGAGCCAATTAACTTTTTGGAATAGACAAATGATAATAAGTTTTATGAATATGACTAGCAAACTCTTAATCTGTCAGTAACCTCTCCTGTATAGTAAAACTAGAAAGTAAACAATATTTTATACAACAATCAAAATCAATCAACAACTTAAAATCTTTAAAAGAATTAGGCCTAATCTTCAAGCACATAAATGCTTTATAATGGCTCTTTTTCAGATTTAGGTATTCCTGTAGCAAACACTGGAGGTAAAAATCTAGGCTAAAATATAAAGACAAGAAATCTCTATAGCGAAAAGATAAATACGATAGATGATAGCCATTCTAATTAGTAAATTGGTTCCATCGTCAAAATTATGGACAATGGTATTGATTAAAGACTAAGAACTTCCGTAGATCAAGATTCTTTTGTTAACAATACTACTCACGAGGAAGAATCTCTAATATCTAAACTTGAAAAGACTATTCAGCAGAAAAAGCAACTTTAGAAAAGTAACAGCTCATATGCCAATAATCCGAAGCAATCTAAGGCTAAAGTATTCAAATGAACGCGCATCAATTAAATTAATTAATCATCTCTAGATCTACCTTCGAATTCAACATTAAGGGGTTTTGGGGTTTTGGGGTTTTGGGGTTTTGGGG